ATACAATGATGAAGTCACCAAAGATCCACTTCTCAGAACATACTGCCTTTGTTACATGGTATATGACCATAAGACACCATCTTAGTTTTTTATTTTATATATATATATATATGTATATATATAATAAAATATATATATTTGTGTGTGTGTGTGTGTGTGTGTGTGTGTGTGTGTGTTTGTTGTTTTTTGATTCCCACCTTCCACATTGTTGGAGACAGGGTATCTTGCTGTTTAGCACTGTGTCAACCTGGCTAGCTGGCCTGAGCTTCTGCTCTCTGTCTCTGCTGCCTGAAGAGTATATCCTAAGTCTCTAGAACAAACAAAGGCTCTCTAAAATATGCAAGTCTCTCTACAGTTACAAGATCTCTTTAAAATATCCAAGGTCTCGTAACTGTAGGTTTCTGAAAATGTTTTAACAGTTAAATACTTTCTTATTTCAAAAGGGAAGAACCAGGGAATGGCTTTAAATGAGTTCTGCAGATTCAAACTCATGTCCTCAGATTTGTGAGACAAGTGCCTTACCCACTGGGATATCTCCTGGCCCTGGTACTGCATTATCTTATATAAGGCACTTGAATGTGTACAGCTATGGGAGCTCATGGGTTCCTAGAACCAAGCACTCATTGGAACTAAGGGATAAATTACAGTTACAAAACAAGAATTAGTTTTATTTCTATCTGTGTATTTGTTTGTGTATGTGCATATGTCCATGTATTCAAGGTGTACTTGTTGGGGATGGACGGGCACGTGTGCATAGCGGGGACTGTAATTCTCGATTACGAAGTATGTTTCTTGGAGGTAGCACAAAGATCAATCCTGGTTTTTGATCTAATTTGTTAGTTAGACAAAGGTACCTTTATCAAGAAATTAATGCCATAAATACTCAGAGTTATAGTTATATGGTGGTTCATGCCTTTAATCCCAGCACTCAGGAGGCAGAGGCAGGCGGATCTCTGTGAGTTTGAGGCCAGCCTGATCTACAGAGCGAGTGCCAGGATAGGCCCCAAAGCTACACAGAGAAACCCTGTCTTGAAAGACCAAAAAAAAAAAATACTCAGAGTTATGGTGAAAGTGTATGTCATTTGTGTAATTCCTGTCATTCTGTGGCCTTTGTGGTATTTTATTCCACCTCTGCTGATTCAGTGTTCTGGAACTGCTTATTTCTTTTGTATTCTCAAGTGTGTTTTACCTTCTTTTCAGACCTAAGTATTCTTTCCAGTATCTTCTGTAGAGCTGGTTTAATGGTCATGAATTCCTTTAACCTGGTTTTGCCATGGAGAGTTTTCCTTTCCCTTTCAAATATGATTGACAGTTCTATATAGTATAGTAGTCTGGGATGACATATATGATGCTTCATAACTTGTAGATTATCAGTCCAATTTCTTCTGGCTTTCATGAAAAATCTCCATTGAAAAATCTGTTATTCTGATAGATCTTGCTTTGTATAGGACTTGCACTTTCTCTCGCTGCTGTCAATGGCCTTTCTTTGTTCTCTGCATTTAGTGTTTTGACTATTATACAACACAGGGGCTTCTTCTCTGATCCTCCCTTATCTCCTCCCCACTGCCCTCCTCCCTGCCCTGGCCATTCTTGAATTGTCCACCTGCCTGTACTCAGGTCAGCAGCACAACAGGCAAGCTACCTTGCTGATCACACAGCTGGACCACGTCACAGTCACAGTCACAGTAGTTCCTCAGCTAGACCACAAGGGGGTGCAGGTTAGCATTCATCCAAGCTAGACCTTAGACAAAAGGTCTAGCTAGCACAAACTTTCCCCATTCAGTGCCTGCAGGAACTCAGTGATTGGTGCTGGCACAGGGGTAATCTGGCTGCTGGCTGTTTGATGGACATTCCTTTTATTCAGGGCAGCCAGAGTACTGAGAACAATAGCTGCTATTAGGGAATCAAATTAGCTTATGCCTTAATATCTATGCTTGTTTATAGGAAAATGAGCATCAATTATGCTTAAAATACAACTCAAAAAATCCAGCTGCCGGGCATTGGTGGCGCACACTTTTAATCCCAGCACTCAGGAGGCAGAGGCAGGCAGATCTCTGTGAGTTCGAGGCCAGCCTGGTCTCCAGAGCGAGTGCCAGGATAGGCTCCAAAGCTACACAGAGAAACCTTGTCTCCAAACAAACAAACAAACAAACACTCCCCACTGGCCAAACTAGGTTCCACTCGCAGCACAGTGGATAGTTCTTCTTCGCGAACATCTCACTAGCATTTGTTGTCATTTGTTTTCTTGATCCTAGCTGACCTGCCTGGGATGACATGGAATCTCTTTTCCTAACATTTGTTTATCTTGTGTATGAGGTGGAGGGACATGAGCCACTGTCAGGGGACAGTTAGCATCCGTGGTTCTCTCCCACCACGGGAGTTTGCTGAGGATCAAACTCAAGCCATCAGGCTTTGTGGCAAATGCCCTTACCACTGAGCCACCCAACCCAAAGCCCAGGGATGGAATCATTGTGGATAGGGATGTTTAAATCTTTTAAAAGTGCTTATTGGCCATTTCTGCTTTGTTTTGTTTTTCCCTTAGCAGCTTGGGTTGTTTTGTGGCTGGCTTTTTTGTTTTTGTTATTTAATTTTACAGTTCTTTACATATTCCAGACATCAAACTCCCAATCTGAGGTTTAGGTATCAGAGACTTTCTCTTATCCTATATACTATTTACTGTACTGATAGTTCCCTTTGCAGAGCAGAAAATTTTTAAATGCTTTAGTTTTAATTTTCATCGGTGTGTGTGTGTGTGTGTGTGTGTGTGTGTGTGTGTGTGTGTGTGTGTGGGCAGAGGGGGGGGGGTTTGAGCGCCCTTATGTGTGATAGGCACTGAAATCAGACCCTCTGAAAGAGTGGGAAGGGCTCTCAACCACTCAGCTGTCACCCCAGCCCCATAAGCAGAAAAGTTTCCATTTCAACAGTCAACAGTCCCATTTCTTGCTGCCAAGGTATCTTGAAATACTTCCTATAATTTCCTCTAGCGGTTTCAGCATTCCAGGGTTTTGTTTGTTTTTGTTTTCTCCCCCCTCCCCTTGGTTTTCAAGACAGGGTTTCTCTGTGTAACTGCCCTACTCACTGTGTAGACCAGGCTGGCATTAAACTCACAGAGATCTGCCCGCCTCTCCCTCCTGAGTGCTGGGATTAAAGGTGTGTGCCATCACCGAGGTTTTAAATTAAGTCTTTGGCCCACTTTTCTAACCTGAGTTAACTGAGTAGGAATAATTGCGTCTGTGTAGTGGCACCCTTCCATAAGCTGAGGTCTCGGACTGAATAAAGAGAACACAAGCTTAGCACAGCAGCCATCTTGCTTGGCATTGTGACTGTGGATAGAATGTAACCAGACACTTCCTGTTCCTGCCACCATGCCTTCCCTGCGTGGCAGACTGTAGCTGCTGGATCTGTGAGTTAATCTCTTTACTTTTATCGGGCATTTAGTTGCAGAAATGAGACAAGTCACTAACACAGGCTGCTGGGCTCTGACTTCCCCAGACAGGAGCTAATGATACCCAGCTCCAAGGTACGTGGCCACCACCAGGTAGAGTGGGACAGGCCTGTAGTTCCAGGACCAGAAGGCTGAGGCAGGAGGATCATAGTCAACCTGGACTATATAAATAGATCTTGTTCCCCCAAAAAAGAAGGGTGGGATTGGGAGGGGTGCTGTGGGGAGTGGGGGGTGGACAAGAAGCCCTCATGACATATCTTTCAATCACAAAATATAGTAAAACCTCATACAAATACTCTCTAGTTGATAATTGTTTTTAGTGGAAGTGTCTTAAAATCTTCCACACTGAAGACCAGGACTGTGTACCCCATAACAGCAGAGGGCACTTGTATCCTAAGCTCAGGTCTGGGCTCCAAACCCAAGGCCCCCAAGGGGAAGGACATCATGGAACGGAAGCACGGGAAAGCTATAGCTGCTTAGGCAGGTAACTAGAAATAAGTGTATTCTACGGGTGTGTCCAACCTTTGACACCGGCACAAGAAAGATGTCTTCTATGAAGTTTACACCCAAAAACCATGAATCGAATTACCAAGAAAGTTTATCCTCCCTAAGAAAATAAATCTTATAATTTTAAATAAGTTTATAGTTTTATATCAGGCCACATTCGTACCTATCCTGGGGTGTCAGTCCACAGGCTACAAGCTGGGCACCACTGCCTACCTACAGAAGATGCAAGTTGGAGCCCACAGCAAAGCAGCCAAGTCACCGATAGCAAGGCATAGGGACTTCATTCTAAACCCTAGCTGGCCTTCTCCGGAGGCCAGGCTGTTTCTATAGTCCTGGATAGTAACTTCTCCAGCTGTTCATGAGGCACATATTAACAGCTGTTTCCAGAGGGGCCATGGGGAGAGGGCAGAGAGGGGCAACACATTGCTGGCTCACCTTCTATCCTGGCCCTTCCCCAGCTGAACTCAGGCTCTCATAGGGGCTGAGGGCCCATCACAGACCATCCTCTGTAGACCTCAGTGCTTTCATCCACTGTGTGCTGTCCTGGCACTCACCTGCCCACTCCCTAAATTACAAAGTGTATTAAATAAGGTCACCTAGGACAGTTTCCAGGGGATGTCCATCACTTGACCTCTAACACACCACCAGTGGAAACCCCAGGGACCATGTGCCCTGAGCCTAGGGGAGGTGGCATCCATGCAGAGTCTCCCACCTCATGGACACCAGCAAAAGCCTCAGTTGGCCTGGGTCCCACTCACACAACAGAGACGAAGAAAGACACGTGCACTGTTCCTGGGTGGTTTTGTCAGGTTTTTGTTGTTTCGCTGCATTTTGAACACTAGGGCTTATTTTCAAACAGCACACGGGTGGTCTGCAGAGCGGGACCAGGCTGGGCCAGTGTGCAGGCCCCACCCACGGCAGGGGCAGGCAGAGGACCCCAG